AACAATTATGTGACTTCTATTCCAATTATTTTCAGTGCCATATTCATGTGTACTCAAGCATTTGTTTTGGTCAGGGTCAGGAAATTTTAGCTTGTTATGGTTCATATTTACCTACAGAGCATCAACAGTCAATCTTGTAAAGGACTGAGCACTCCTGTGAGGTTCCAAGACTTCTCAGTTACCCCTGACTTCAACAGAAACTGAGGCACCTCAACCTCACAGGATCAGGACTTCAGAAGATCAAGCCCCAACAAATTAGAGTTCCAGATTATACTGGTTATTACAAGTAGGTGCTTAAAATATACCACAACAATCTTGTGAATAAGACCCTGGACTATTATCTCGGAAATCTAGGTGCAATCCCAGGTCCTATGACAGACTTCTGATGTGACCTTTAGCTAGTCACTTAGGGCTTGTGTACACTACATAGAAGACTGAAGCGGCCACAGTTGATCTTTTGGGGTTCGAATTCGCTCGTCAAGTGAAGACATGCTAATTCAAACTGAGAGGGTGCTCCCGTCCGTGCCAGTAGTCCTGGTCCTCGTAAGGAGTAAGGGAAGTTGACGGGAACATGTGCTCCCACTGACCTCCTGCTCTGTGGATAGCACCAGAACATGATTTAAGATACTTTGACTCTAGCTACATAATTAACGTAGATAGAGTTGAGTATCTTAAGTCAACTTTCCTCTTTAGTGTCGACTTGGCCTGAGTTTCACTGAGTTTCAGTTGTCCATTTTGGCTATGTCTACACTACGGGGCTTTATCGGAAAAAGGTACGCAAATTGCGCTCCACAATTTGCATACCTTTTTCCGATAGTTTTTTCAGAAGAGGCTTTTCCAAAATTTGCTCCATCTACACTGGCCAAATTTCGGAAAAAATCTCTTTTGGAAGAGCCCTTCTTCCTTGTGGGAGGAGGGAGACATGGCTTCTGAAAAGCATATCTGCTTGTCCACAAAAAAAGTGGAAGAGCAGATGTGGTCTCTGGACGCAGCCGAGTTTTTCTGGGATACCTCCAGTATCCCAGAAAACCCCTGTAGTTTAGACATAGCCTTGGTAAAATAAGGATAATACCAGTTCCTTGCATCCATCCTTGTCTGACTTGTCTATTTAGACTGTAAACTCTTCAGGCAGGGAGCTGTCTCCTATTATGTACATTGGGCCCCAAACACCATTAATGCTTCTGGGTTCAACAATAATGCAAATAATAATGCTTCTCAGCTCTCACCAATTTTCTTGCACAAACAACTATCTGTTTCTAGTGAGGGAAGTTCAGAGTTTAGGTTTTGTTTGGAGAAGCATCCAAAAATGTGGCTGTTCATCTAAAGTTTATTCAAACTAGCTGAACCTCTTGAAGTTACAAAAGTGGGCTGGAAATATTACAAGAATCAGACTTCTCATAATGTTTCCAGCACTCTGGCATCTGGTTCCAAGCTTGCCTGGAAGCATAAGAGTGCACAAAAATGAAAAATAATAGAGAGAAAAATAAATTACAGGGTTGCTGTTTTTCTTAACATTGAAAGAGTCCATTGGGCCTGTGCTAATTTTGGTCAAAGGTGGGTGTGGGGCTCATGAGGTGCCTCTTTTCAGACCAGTTCATCCTCCATTAACTTTATTCTCTTAAAAACCAAAAATTCACATATAGCTCTTTAAGTGCCTATTACAGTCATGAGGGCACAGGGGACAGAGGGAGAAATGAGACAGGGATTACAATCCTGTTCATTGGTTTTATCATCACATTTAAAATCCAAATCTTAAAAATAGCTTTCCCCGTGGTTTTAAGGAATTGCCATAAAAAGTCAACTTTTTCTGGTAAATGAACCCTGAACAACTTAAAAAAAAACACAGAGAAAACAATAAGCCCTTTAAAACAATGGGCTCTCTGTAATTCCAGTCTTTTGACTGTCTCAGAATACATATATCAAGCAAATATTGATAACAGAATTGGACAAAGAAGAAAGTCACTGTGACTTCTTAGCTTTTGTGGGAGGAGAAAAGTGTCTGCCACTAATACTTGGAGAAAGGAATACGCAAGGAGACATTAATTTGAATTTGATTCCAACTTCATTGTGTATATACAGAATCTCGGTTTTGATTGTGTAAGCAGGCATGTCAAAACTGGAGAGAAAATGCTGACTAGAAAGTATTCAGAGAGGCTGTATAGCATAAACTGCCACAAGAGCTCAGAGATTATGCTGACCTGACCACACTGCCCAGACCCCTTTCTCCCTCCCTTTCTGAATGAAGACACACAGGTTTTGATCCATACACAGATATGTAATCGAGAATTCGATTTTCATTAAAATGTTCTGTCAGCTCTACTAAAAAAAAAATCTCTGCTCTTCAATCCTTCCTTTTCCTGCTACAACAAGTTCCACTCTTTATAGGCAGTCAGAACCTTCAGCAGAGTGTTTGACTGAGATTGTCAGAGATGACAACATACCAGGAAAGGATGGAGAGACTGAAACTCCAGTGAGACCAATTGACCTTCCTTTTTCTGCGCTCAAACTTGTTTTCACAGCTTGAGGTATTTCAGAAGATTGCTGCAATGAGCTTGACTGAAATGGTATGTGATTGGACACCCCAAGGCTGTTTATATTAAATTAAAAGTGAAAATAGGAGGAGTTTCTTTCTCTCTGATATTCATCAGGTATACCACTGGCACTTGTGCCCAAAAGCAATATAGCAGCTATATAGAAAAATAAAATTTAAAGTTGACCAAATTTAGTGTTCAGTGAACTAAGAGTCAAAAAGCACCACCTCGAACTGTGTGGGGGTGTCGAATGCTAGCAGCTAGTCTAGAGCCGCCCCTGTGTGTGTGACAACTCTCAGTAATATTTAAGCTGCCCAAATAGAGCTGGGAGGTCAAATATGAGGATTACAATTGTGCTAAAATTCTATAAGTTAAAATGCACATGGCAGTAATGCACTTCTGCAAACTTACTTAAACCAACTCCAGCAAAATTTCCAAGCACTGTTACAACTGATGACCACAAGGTTTGCACAGGGAAATTCTATTTTATGGAAAAAAAGCATTCTGTAATTGCCATTGTCAGTGCATTTGGTAGATTGCAGGGAAAATAATTAAGAAAAAAATATGCATCACACTTTATTTCACAGAGTGCAAAGTGTTTTAAATATGTACAGTGCACTACTGCAAAGTGTTTACAAAAATTCTTCAACTTGGACTCAAGTAACTGCATTATGTTTTCTTTGTTCATATAAGGAAGCAGATCCATCTGCTAGTACAATTGCACATTATAAAATGAAGAACTAACATGATGTTTCATCTAGGAGGAGGAGGAGTCTGAACGTCTCTTAAAGCAGTCTTGGTGTTTTAGAGGATTGGTGGAGTTCATCGACCTAGAGAGACATGTGAAGTAGAAAATTGTCTCTGAGGGTACGTCTAGACTACTGCGTTTTGTCGACGGAAGTTTTGTTGACAGATACTGTCGACAAAACTTCCGTCGACAAAGAGCGTCCAGACACATTGAGTTCTGTCGACAAAGCAAGCTGCTTTGTCGACAGAACTCCATAGTCTGGACGCAACGTTACAGGCAATAACACCTTCTGTCAACAGAGTTCTGTCGACAGAAGGTGTTATGCCTCGTAAAATGAGGTATACCAGCGTCGACAAAACTGCTGAGTTC